CAGGCTAGATGATCTGTTCAGGTCCTTCCTGACCCTAGCTACCATGAAACTACTATGAAACTATGAAACAGCCACGGAGCCCAGGCTGCTCCCAGCAGGCGGCTGGGAGGCTGCAAGCCCTCCTGCAAGCAGACCGGGCTCTGTGGGGTGGCTGCAGCTGTGAGGCTGCAAGCAGCTGCTCCGGGCTCTGGCATGTCGGCACTCCAGCACCTTCCAAGGTAGACATTGTGTTTTTTTGGCACTCCAGCCAAAAAACCTTGCCTACCCCTGCTCTATAGAGTGCAACAGGAAATCTCCAGATCATCCCACAATTCCCCTCTATTCCCCTATGGAGGGAGCAGCAGGAAGAGCAAGGCAAACTATCAGTGAGTGCTATCCCGTGTGCTTCACCTCTGCTTTCCCACACTGACCCCTAGCAAAACCATGAGGCCTCATGCTCCCCCTCAGAAACTGAGAAGCCACATGCTGCAGTCAAGACACTAGAGACCGAACACTCCCAACTCCACCAAAGCTGGGAGACCAGAAAACCTACACCATGGTTGTGGCCCAAGCTGGGATCCTGTTCCCATTCCCTGCATACCTCCCAGTTCTGGTGGCAAAGAGGGGTGGGAGTTCTCTAGTCTCCTAGTTCCAGGTGGGTCAGAGGGTGCTCCAGAAGAGCTGGGGTAGAGTAGACAGAAGAGTGCTCACTGATGCTGTCTCCACCACAAGGTAAAAAGGGTCTGTAAAGCATTATAGACAGTCTACTACACCCCACCCCCAGTGGGCAGGTGGGACCACAGCCACAGGTTACCCCAGCTCTTTGCAGTGCCCCTAGCTGGACAGTATGCCTCTGTATGCAGCCACAGTGATTCTGAAGTGTTCCAGCTTGGGGGTGTGAAAAGGGGCTGCATGACCGTCTGCAGCTGAAACACTACATTTTTAAAGCATGTTAACATGTAGCTGCACTCTGGAACACTTCAGTTGTTACATTTGTCTATACCCTTACAAAAAAAAATCACAGCACTTCAAATACTCTTGGTTTATTCCATTTTACGGTGTCCTTACCCTACCCACACACAAAATCTCAAAGGAGATTTTGTAGCTTAAAGCTCATAAAAAAATGTAATTCAATTTTGTGCTGGGTAAGCCACTAGAGACTGCATCTGGAAATTTTTTTTCCTGACTTTCTATTGCATTTGATTTAGCTTAATACATTGAGCTAAACGTCATTGCCAGTGGAAAAGTCGTCTTTATGTTCTTGTTTACATGTGTTATAAATTTCTAGTAATGCACATAAGATCTCTCATGGTTCCTATTATTGGGATTCAGTAGGATATTTACTGTAACCTAAATATAATAGGATTTCTTGATGTTGAAAAATGCAGTTTATAATCTTCAACTTGATTTTGGTTTGCTAGTGTTTGGGATTAACATGTTTCATATTTCTAGAGTTTAGAATTATTTCCCAGGTAGAACGTAAGATCCTAATTACTTCTGAATATTTGAAAAACTGCATTTCTTTCACATCCAAATCTCCCTCTGAATTCGGTGGAGATGAGACAGTTGCATAGGCCGTGAAAAACAGGGCTGAGTTCTTTATGTGTTTTTTTTAAACGTTACTACTCATGCTACTCAGATTCCACTGTATATAACATATTAAATTACAATGTATGCATACCTTATTATGTTACCTCACATATGCTTTAGACATAACCTTCACATTAGATGGGCAGCACATGATTGCTAATATTAAAAGGAGCAAATATCTTATCTAGTTTCATATTTCCTCTGGCTTATGGTCCAAGTTTCAATTTATAAAGTAAGCAGTAACATCACAAAATGTGAATGGTACTTGACCAGCCAATACCACAATCACCCTGTGCAACTCAAGAAAGTCAAAATATATGAATATCACCCAAGATGGTGACTATTTACTTCAAATTCCTTAAAAATTTCTTACGTATCACCAACATATCAACACTTTAAAATTATACAGATGTTCAAATAAAAATGTTCATTTATCTTCTTGTTTCTGAAATGTCACTAAATAATACTCTGCTTTTAAAAACTCACTATTCCCTAACTGGTTTCAGTTCTGTGATTAGCTACCATTTTCCCACCTCAAACCAAATGTTTGCTTAACTTTATCATATCATTTCTATAATAGCATCCAGCAGTCAACAACAAACCATAAAAGGTTGCTGGAATGTCTACTTCACATTTACAAAGTACTTGCCTACTTTAGCAGTTGTTCTAAAACCAAACTTGTCATAGCCCAGTAGAACAAATAAAATCCGCAAAAATCCTCTGTCTTGCTTTCAGTTACTGAAGGCCAAAGCAGTTTTTTATTTGCCTTGATGGTAATACATAACACTGGGGGGAAGGGTGGGGGAAGGAAGGGGACAGGACCAAGATTTGATTGCTGTTGCCAGAAAAAAACACAATGGCAAGTGAACATATTTTTCATTGTGTAACTATTATTTTGATTTATTACCACTGCAAAGTTGCACATATTTTCATTTTTGGCATTTGCTATCATACAAATCACAAGAGATCTAGATCGTGGTGCTGAACCTCTTGGTCTTGCAGACAAGGTGAGTGGCCTGGAGCCAGTCCACAGGCTGGATAGAGCCCAGAATGACTAGAACAGACACTGGGGCCTGGCACCACCCCTTCCTGCTATGATTGGGCCTTGAGGGCTCAGGCACTGTCTACTTATACCCCTGCATGCTGGGATTGGCCCTTTGAGTGGACTGACACCACTCTCTCCTATTAGGGTTGAGCCCCACTGGCTCTCGTACCACCCCCTCCTACCCCTACATGCCAGGTTTTGGTCCCAGTGCCACCCCTGAGCCCCAGGATTGGGCCTGCACCAGCCTCTCCCACCCCCAAGTGCCAGGATTGGGTGCTGTGGGCCTAGAACCACTCCCTCTCACTTTTCCACACTGGGATTGGACCCTTGCACTGCACATTGTTCCTACGTGACCCTACATACTGGGATTGGGTGTCAGATATAGACCACAGGGCCTGGGACTCCCCATGGGTCCAAAAATTTGGCAGCAGAGAAGTGAAGCCACCACTCTCCTACCACCTAATTTCTGGGCCCATAGGAAGCCTCATGGGCCAGCGGACATGGCACTGTAGGGCACATCTGGCCTGTGGCCCAGGGGCTGAGCCCCCCTCGTCGAGGTGTTTGCACTGACTACCATTTCAAAAAACCCAAGGCAGAAGTGACCTAAGTAACACACTTTACTCTAAGCATCCTAGGTTAGACCAAGAGTGAGCAGAACACACATTTGTCCTTGGGGCGGGTGGGATGAAAACTGCCAGCACTGGCCAAGACCATCAGGTTGAGAGCAATCCTGCTTGCCTCCCAGCAGTCCCCTCAGCTGCTGGACACTGCCAAGCTCAGCCAAGTGGCTGGGCTATCCCTAACTGGCTGCTGAGCATGGCCAAGCACCTCTCGTCCCTACCTCCCCCAGCAGCGTCAGCCACAGGCCTGAGAGCTGCTGGCACACAGTGGAGGCAGTCTTTCTGGACCATGACCGGCACCCTGGTCCTGCTCCCTGGGGCTAAACCAGCCTACAGAAGCATGGGAGTCCCTGGGTAGGTGTGAGGAAGCCTGTCAAAGGACCCCCATGCCTCTGCAAGCTGGCACAACTCCAGGTAGCAGGAACACAGTGGGGCAGCTCTCCCCACCACTCCTGCCAGCAGTGTCAGCCACCGCGCTGACAGCTCTGTGACAGCATGGGCAGGGATGGCCAGGGGCTGGGCCAGAATGCAGATCAGCTGCCAGCACATCTCCTGTGAGGGGAGGTTATCAGGGGACCACAAAGCAGACTGGAATACTGGAGGACAGTGACCTGCATTGTGTTGGGAAGGGTCTGGTAGAGAAGCTCGACAGACCAGTCTAAACTAAATCACTTAAATCTGATGCTACATCAGTCCATGTCTATCTTAGACTGGTTTCCACCATTTTAAACCAGTCTACATGCACTGAACTTCTTTCTGGTTACAGGTGTAGACCAGTTTCTAGTCACTTATACTGGTAGAAGTATAGCATCTGTATCTGGGCTTTACTGGTCATGTCACACATCTTACCTTAAGTTTCACCAGGAGTTGTTCATGATCTTGTAGCAGTTTTTTGGTCTCATCTTGATTGCTGCCAATTTCTAATAGATTTGGTTCTGCCTCTGCCAGTTGAAGTTGCACCCATTTTCCAGACTATAATGCAAACATAAACAAACACCCATTGAACACCATCCAGAAAACATGAATTTTGTTTACTTCCTTCTCCAAAAAAAATGCCAATTAATATGTCCTGATCCTTCAATTTGGCTAGCCCAGACAAACCCCTGCATACACACAGAGATCCAGTGAAGTCAAATGAGCCCAATGATACACTCACATAAATCCAGTTTCAGGATTAGGGCCCCCAGGATATAAAATCCAGTGAGTACAAACTTTAGCAATGGGATGCCAAGAACATTTAATAAACATGTTTCATCTGAAGCAATGCCAAGATCCCAAATTCTTGCCTTCCATAATCACTATCCATGTTGTAACTGCAATCAATGAATAGAAAATTATATCTGGAACTAAAAAAGTTGTATCCCTGTATCATGCCGGGGATCATCAATGGTATATTTTTAGCTGGGCCTTGTATAGGTAACTGGCTGCATATGTGTACTGTCAAATAATGTCCTAACTTTCTCACAGAAGAAACAAATTCAGGCAGACATAATCAAACTGTCTTCTTGACCAGAGCCAGGCCCTTCAGCATTGCATTTTCTAACACACCTTTGGGGAGGGGAGGTTGTTTTTCTTTCGGTTTCATTTTTCTTTAAAGCACCTAATAGCTCTAATAATGCTGGGAGAGAAAATTACTAAAGGAACATGAAACTTTTAAAATAATTGGCCTGATCTTCCAAATATACACTTAGGCAAGTATGGCTCCCTAGCCAAAAATAATTAGTCTTTCTTATAATAATGCTCAAGGCACAGAATCATCACACCTAACACAATGGTGGTTCTAATTGAGGTATGAACTCTAATCCCTGGAATAAAAGTCTATTGCATACTGAGTGAGGTCCTGTGGTGTTTTTGATGCAACTACCAGTGAAATTAAGGACTTAATCATAAATCCTGTTTACAGAACACAGAAAACAGAAACAGGGCTGTGTCATCAGAGTATCATAGAGAACTTAGGCTGGAAAGGACCACAAGAGCTCATTTGTCCAACCAGGAACCAAACACCTGAAACCTTGTTATTAACACCATGTTATTAGCACCACGCACTAACCAACCTGAAGAGAGCCTCTAAATCTGGGTGACAGGAAACCTCCAGAACAGGTTAGGAGATGCAACTCCATAGCAACTATTCCAGCCTCAGGTCACCAAAGCACCTGTACCTTTACTATGTATGGGGCAATATGCCAGATGAATAGCATGGTAACAAACCCAATGACCTATGCTTGCCCCCTCCAAACCCACATTACATAGCAAAGCCAAAGAGAACATGGGATCCAGGGTATGCAGGAGCACCACAGGATTCCCTCTCTGGCAACAAAACCAAACCACAACTACAGCTAACCTGCAGCTTGGCTATTAAAGAGATGCAAGAATTTTCTCCTGTCAAGAGAAACTCCTTTCATCCAGACCGTCAGTGATTTCAGTATGCATGTTGTCTCTGTCCTTAATCTAAATTAGTTATCACATTCTAATGCACTAGGCTAGATTTTTTGAAGGTGCCGGATGAAGTGAGGTGGCCAACTGCCATCAAAGTCCAAATAGAGCTGGGTGCCTAACTGTTAGGCAGCACCCAGAACTGTAAACAACGTGCCTGAGCTGGAACTAGCATCTCTAGCAATCCTTCAGACACGCAAGACCCCTTGTCAAAAATGTGTGACAAATGGCCACGGATGATTTTTTTTTTAAACGATCAAGATGATATTTTAAGTGTTTTTTCTTCACCTAACACTGAACTAAACCACTGATAATAGAAATGATTTTTTGTGCACTTGTTACTGCTAAAATTGTACAACAAAAAATTAGTAAGTACTTTAGAAGAAAGACTGTAAATAGAGTTGAGATTTTTAAAAGTAAGATGCTTATGTTTCTTATTATTTAATTTCCTAGATGTACATGCCATTTTTTAGAAAGAGGGACTCATGTTCTCTGCAGCAACAAACTTACATATTTTGGCTGAAACATTTAATATAAAAAAGAAAAGTAATACACAGTAGTCAATATTAACTTAAAATAAGGCTTCTTAGTTAGGTTTCTTAGGTAACAGTGAATTAAATGTACTTGCCTTGTCATTTTTATATGCTGTATAGCTTCTGTTCTGTGCAGAACATTGCAAAGACATCTTATTATAAGCTTGAAGCAGCACAAAACTGCAGAGCTAAGAGCATAAGTGTTAGCAAATGTTGTCTTACCTTAAGTATAGCTATAACAATTCTGGAATTCCCAGCCTGAACAGCAACTGAACTGACTGTTGTGGTAGAAAACTGTTCACCAGAACTGCCTTCACTCGACATGGTGCTTCAGAACTGGATTTCATACATTAAAGCAGCCTCAACAAACTCAGATGAGTCCACTGGTCATTTAAAAAAGCAGCAAACAGGGTTACTTGGAATCATTCAGTGGAACAGCTCAGCTAACACCGATTACTCTGCCAAAAGGAAAGAGCAGGAGGTTAAAAATAGACAATCCCATTGAGTTTATCATTCTTGTGAGTGATTTGACACACCCCTAGTTTGGTAGCATTAAATTGTCTGTTCTTTTTTGTCACTATCTGAAGTGTAAAGGGCTGCCGCTGTGAATATCACCTGACTCTGGATAAGAAAATGGAAAGAAACGGAAATAGCTAGAATCATTTTTCCTACTAGTGCTGTGCAGAAAAATCAATACTACAGGGCTTCAAAACAAACAGGCACCTTATACAACTTTTTGTTACTTCTATCATGTTAATTACTGCATGTTTGCTGAGTTATATGTGTGTGCATCTATGTGTGTGTATAACACCTGTATCAATTATATAGATATACATAATTTCAGGATGCACACTGCCTCAGAAAAGAAAACAGAATGAACATTTATATACAAACAGAACACTGTGAATTAGACAACAGCATATTTATTACCTAAAAGGTTTAAAGTTATAGTTAATATAACAATCAAGGAAGAAATCCAAAAAATTCTGTGCGAGTTTTTGATAATTTTATTACTTAATACTATTAGGACTTTTTTTTCACTAGTCAGTTGCACTGCAAGTTGTTCTTCCATTCTATTTCTTTGCTGTAATTTAGCTTAACCATATTTAGTAATACGCTTTTAAGGATATTTATGTCATAAATCATAAAAGGCTGAGATATATTTTAGCTTTTATTCAATGTAGAGAATCACAAGTAGCTTTAAATTGTGGCGCAGGGTCAGTACATTAATTCTGCTAAAAACTCAGAGCATACCACAAGTAGCCTGTGGTATTAGACAGCAGCTGTTTGATCCCTGATGATAGAACAGCTGAGAAAGTGACACTGGTGTTTGGGTCAAAGGTTATTCAGACAAGACAAGCACATCAGGGAATCACAGACCCAATGGGCTTTACAAGCATCTGCTTGTATATTTCTTTAAAAATATGTAGTAGTTTGGGTAACTTTGGAAGCAAACCCAGACTCAGAATCTTATGGTTTATGTCTAAGAGAACTATGAGTATTAAGTTATGAAGTCAAGTACCCAACATTTAAACAAACAAACAAAACACTGCACCCACACCTGCATAAATGACATTTATATTTAACCAAAATTATGGCTATTCAAATGTTACTCATACGTATTCTGAAGTTCTCTGATCATAAGGTGTGCATCCAAGCCAGATTCCCTACACATAGGTACTCGCTAAAACCACTGAACATCATAAAATATACCTAAAAAATTAATTGCTAGCATTCCAGCAACAAGGCACAATGATGACTCTCATAAACTGGTGAACAACAGCTTATGAAGATGATGACTAACAACAACCATTAACAGACCAGTCAGAAGTGAAGCCAACATGTGGAAGGAAATTATGAAATATTTCATACTGGAGAAAGCTGAGGGCAGACCTCTGCAGAATCTGAGCTGACATATTGAAAGTTGGCTCCCTGCGCCAAAACACTTGAACAAACATTTTGGGCACTTGTAATTATGTGCTAACTGGGCTCAGGAAGGCATAGCTGACAATTTTTTGAAAAGAATACCCATGTCCCAAAGCAAAGCAGAGCACAAAGTAGCAACTGCCAATGATGTCAGTAAATATCAAATATTTTCCTTCAAGACCCCTTGAAATACCTTACAGAAACCCTTCAGAGTAAAACAAACATTCCACACAGAGATTGATGAGGCTCACAGTATGGGGGAAAAGATCTATAAAGCTTCAGAGGTAAAATTGATGCTTGTGAAATAGGTCTGGCAGGAAAAAAAATTGGAATTGAAAGACGAGAAACAGAACATAAAGGTCAGAGACTGATAAAAAGCCTTACAATTAACAACTGATCATAAACAGAATTTGGATCAACTAGAATATTGTAATATTGTACCTATCAGAATTAGTAACTTTGCTTACTAGAACACACCATGAGCCTGGGATTGAGTACATCCTATACTTGACAGGTCCAAGTGCAGGAGCTAGCCTGCAAGAGTTGCCTTGACTTATGGAAAATTTATTGAATTGCTGGCTGGTGAGGGGAATACAACTGATTTGACATCTAGTCTAGTTTATAGACTAGAGTAGGAAATTGTTTTATTTACCAGGCCTGTAAAGCAAAGAAAAATACTAGAGATGTACAATCATGTTTTTCTTTTCTGGAAAAAAATCTCTTATATTTGGGGTCAGGACAACACACCATTACTCTTGGGTGCCAATAGCTGTGGTCCTTAACTAAGCAATTAAGTAAATGCTTATTGCTGATAACTGAAAAAATAGAAAACTACTGCCTAAGGAGTAACTATAGCCAAGCCCAACAATAGCTAAGCCCTATGTCCCAAGGTCATTCTGGGGGGCTAAGGATAAATGCAGATGGAGGACTGATTTGTTGCAGCTATATGCCTGTGTTGGGGAGACACAAGCAGGAAAAACACTCCATAATCACAGAGAGAAAAATAGCAATGCAGAATCAGACACAGAAGAGCTAAAAAGCTTTTCTCTAAACTGAGAAAAAACAAGCTCCAAAACAAACTGTAAGCACTTTTGGAACTGTGGAAAAGGAACCATCTTCTATATTTGATTCCTACAGTATTTGGGGGAATGTACCTTTATTGTAAGTAAAAAGGATTAAAGACTCCATCAAAGACTCCATTAATTTCCCTTTCTAATGGGACCCACCCCTCCCCCCAAAAAACCTGAATGTAGACTATCTACCTGCATCAAAGGGACTATCAATATTTTCCTTACTTGTTGCTGTATGAAAGTGTGCCCACTGTGTGCAACCATAGTGATGCTGAATCACTCTAGCCAGAAGATGTGACAGGGGACCATATATCTATCTGCTACTGAAACCCTCCATTTCTTCAATGTTTCAAACCCCATTATATTTTGAAATGTTTGAATACAGCATGTCTATCTTCTTTGAAAGATGTTTGGCTGTTCTCACTGGGTTGGGCAAAGTGCATGCAGCATCACAAACTCAGAAGCACAGGGTCTGTTGGCTAGATTGACATAAGGTCAATGGTTTATTTAAGGGACAAAAAGGAGAGAGAGCATGAGCAATTGAGCCATTGGATTTTCTACACTTAGGCTAGGGACAGAAGTTGCACATAAACTGGTTAAGTTACAAGAAACTGGTTTAAACCTGTAACAGAATAAAAGTTCAGTGCACATAAACCAGTTTCAAAATGCCTGAAACTGGTTTAAAATGAACCTGGCTGTATATAGTATGAGACTTAACTGATTTAGGTCAAACCAATTTATGAAACTTATGTCCCAGACCCATTCTTGGTTCAAGTTAAATCACAATGTCCCAGCATCCCAGCATGCCTTGCAGCCCTGGGCTAGGCTGTGCTGTAGCAGGGAAGGGTTGGGGGAGGGGGGAGGCAGGAGCTGCCTGTCCCCCCAGGCAAACCCCGGGACCAGGGAGCGGGGTTTAAACTTCTCTTCCCCCGAGTACAGAGCTGCCCTGCCATGCCTTGCCCTGCTAAAAATTTATGGCTTTATGGACTACAAATCCTAGAGGCACCTGGAAGCAGGAAGACCCTGCAGAGTCCTGCTGCTGTAATTCTGGACTGCAAATCCCAGAGACGTCAGAGGCATCAGGAAGAAGATGGGAACATACAGCCCATGCTGGCTACATGCCAGAAAGCCATGCTGTAGTGCCCCCTGGCTTCTGGCCTGAGCCACTGCAGGTATGTGGCTGCACTTCTTGAATCAAAAGTCAATGTGTCCAGTTGTTTCTCTGTTTAATCTTCACAGTTTAGATTCAACTGCAAAGACTGAGTTGATTCAGCCTTGAAATTTCTGATTGTCTGTATTTACCTTTAGAGATGGGAATATAAATCTATCGGGGTGTCATATCCAGATTAGGCACTGCAGGGAGACGGCAGAGTACCAGGTCTTGGTTACAAGCAGGCACTGGCCCCAGGTGGGGCTGGGGTCAGGACCCTCAGAGGGACTGACGGGTCACTGTGAGGACAGTCTGGAAATTACATCAAAATTACAACACAGAGCCCAGGCATCAAGGGAGAGCACATCAGGAGGTAGGTAATAAGAAAAGAGCAAATGTAGATATTCATCCCTGGCACAGACTTCTCTTTGGTAGAAGACAAGATGTCTGGTTTAGAGTGGTGACTACTCTGGCAAAGTTCTCCCCTTTCCTTCCCTCATCAAAATCGTCAAAGCTGAAATCAGCCCAGTAGCAATAGCAACCAGAGGCAAGAGGAAGGCAGGAACCCAGGATGCTTCCAACTACTTCCTCACTAAAGCTGAGGGGTAGGTGGCTGGGCTGTAAAAAGTGGCTGTTTCTGGGAGAACAGAATATGCTTTGCCTCTTACCAGAGACAAAGGGCAGAGTCAGGGCCTTCTCAATGCCTGGAATCACTGACACGTGTCCAGCCCTTGCTTTTCCAAGCAGAACTGGGCACAAAGTGGACAATGAAGATCCACACAGCAGCTAGCAGTCAACATTTTATTATGGCACCTCTAACTTCTGGTGCATCTTGTGGGGGTGGGATATAGTCTTCAAGACAGACAGAAGGCTTCTCCTGCTTAGAGGCAGCATATATATTGTAGTAACAAAGCAGATTTAAAATGGAGAGGCTATTTCATGCAAATGATCCTGCAGCAGTGGGAGAAAGCCCACCTAAATCCACTGAGGTTCAGTGGACAAGGAAGGTAGCCTGTCTTACCAAGGAAGCTGTGACACAGATGAATGTTGCTGTAGTTAAGACCCTGGCTAAAAATGGGGATCTTGAGGTAGCTGGAGTAGTGTAGAATATCATTCCAACCAAAGGGTGTGAAAGGACAAAGATGCATATGAAGCAGTCATAAAGCTCATGATAAAGGAAAGCAATAAGCATGTTATTCCTAGT